ACACACAGGCATACCTGTACACATGCTCACACACACAAGAAAGAAAAGGGTGATATAAATGACAAGTATATATAAATTGAGTAAATATGGAGCTATGATCCCTAGCAACACACACACACACACACACACACACACACACACACACAGGCACACACAGGCATACCTGTACACATGCTCACACACACAAGAAAGAAAAGGGTGATATAAATGACAAGTATATATAAATTGAGTAAATATGGAGCTAATATCCTAAATTGGAAAATTGCATAAAAATATGTCAATTTTCACTACTATTTAAGGTATAGGTTAAATACAATACCAATTATAAGAATCCCAATACTAATAGGAGACATTTCTGGCTTGTGGTAACAAGTAAAAAGCTGGCCAAACAGGGTTAGCTGTGTCCCAAAGAGACTCATCACTTCCAGAGCAGAGAACAGGAACAGACAATGCGGGAGGAGTGGAGCCACAGCCCGTAACCCGAAGGTCATGGATGAATTGTGAATGGGAGTTTAAACCTCCAGGAGGAACCCAGTCAACGGAATCACTCGGGTTTTGTTTTACCTCTGGGAGCTCTACCAGGCAGGCCCTCACGGTAAATACCCGAGGAAATCCCCTTGTGCTTTTCCGCAGAGGGAGGGGCAAGCAACCATTTTGAAATGCCCTAGAGCACCCTAATTTTAACAAGGTCAGCCCTAGTCAGAAACTAGATAAACAAGGCCTGACGGAGCCAGCCGTCACTTGTTGAACAGCACCTGAATGGGGGAGTGAGGATGAAGAAAAAGAAAGACGCAGAAGTAGAGTCGGGAGCCTCCCAGAGAGATCGCCGCCGCCGCTTATTTTTTATTCTCCTCCCCTTTTTATCACAGGTGAGTTTGGTTATCAATCATGACCCTTATCCAAAGACACCGGCTTCCTTGTTCTCTAGTTCTTTGGAAATTCCCCACCCTCATGAGCTTTCTTGTTTCTTGGGTTTACAAAATGTTCATCATATTCCAGGACAATTTCTGAAGGTAAACATCCAATTGGGCAAGGACGCGGTTCCTCGTAACATAGTCTCCTTGCTCTATACAATGGAGGGTAAGATTTAACATGGAGCCTCTATGGCTAACACCGCTCTCCACATCTCCCCATTTTATATATTATGATTAAGGTCCCTTGATCACACAGATAGGCTGTGCCTGTCTTAGGTGAGGAATATAAAGAAATCCCTTACCCGTCATGGAGTCAAGAGCATCACAGTACTCTTGCTCTGTCTTAGGTTGGTGAATTCCTGTATTCCTCTTACCCGTCATTGACTACCAGCCTCTGCAGGGATTTATACCATGGGTTTAGGCGGTGTGGCATGTAATTGTAGACCATGAATACTTCCAGCCATCTTCATTAAAGAATGCATAAACATCTGTAGTAGCGCCAGAAGGATCATGCATCTAAGAGGCAGCCCTCCTCCAATAATTACTATGGAAATGAGTTACCGCGTAAATGCAGATGTAGATGGCAGAACTTTTCTAATTTGTTCGATAAAATCCTGTGCAGCCTGGGCTGCATCAAATTTTAGGAGTTCTGCATTTTGGAGATCTATAATATCCAAATCTAAGAACACATTCGCAAAACCATTATCTGATTTTCTGTTCGGGTGACACAATTGCTTATTTGACAATTGAAGTAAATTACATTATAATAATCATAATCTTTCTGAACACTAATATTTCCTACAAGCAATACCTAAGAGCACATGACATATGCAGTGATATTTCTTTTGGGATGACAAGAATTTTCAGACCAGTCCAAAACACAAGTATCAAATCCAGTAATATTATATCTCACAGGGGCAACTGCCACACATCTCTTCTATGGAACAGTCCCATTGGAGCATTAAAAGTTGGAGGCACTACACCAGTGGTCTCTATACCCACAGGTAGATGTAGATGGACTCCAGTGATCCCGCCTTTGCATTGATCTACCTACCTTCCTGCCAGGGTGCGAGCGCTCAGTCTTATACAATCAGTTCTGTTGATTTTGAAGAAACATATGGGGGTTCTGGTTTCTGATCCCATATAGTTGAACAATCGGACCTCGTTCTTGTCAGGTGCCGCTGGCTCATCCAACAGCCTGGTATTGTTCACCCATACCATTACTTCTCCATTTTTTCAGCTCGTTGGATGTACAACAGGTGGATCAGGTACATAAGTCCAATAAACCTTCTCATTAAGCGTCATCATTAGATTTATCAGCAGAACAGTTGTTGGGATCATCCTAAGGGGCAGGAGAATTTCCCGCAAAATGGACCAATCTTTCAGGCAGCCACCTGGCACCTTCAGTGTCCTGAAGGAAAACACAAACATGACCTCGTCCCCATATTAATACCGGGTCGGGGCCACTCCATACACCCTTGAGGGGATCTTTCCACTTCACTTGAGCATATGATGATTTAGCTTTAGGATGCCACAGCCATTCTGCTGCAGTCAATCCATAAGCATCCACAATCAAAAAGTTCAGGATGAAGAGAGCATGATGTAAATAATTCTGTGGGGATAAAGGGTATAACTCCCCCTTTTTTATTTTTTGCAATTGATTTTTTAGAGCACCATGGGCTCTTTCCACAATCCCTTGGCCTTGTGGATTATAAGGAATACCTGCCTTATGGGCGATACCCATCTGTTTACAAAAGATTTGAAAAGCTTTACTAGTATATCCCATGCCATTATCAGTTTTAAGAATGATAGGGACCCCAGTTGTGGCAAAGCATGTTAAACAATGGGCTATCACATGTTTCGTAGCTTCTCCAGCTTGTGCGGTGGCCATAATAAATCCCGAAAAGGTATCAATACTTACATGTATATATTTCTGTTTTCCATATTCGGCAATATGGGTAAAATCCATTTGCCATAACTGACTAGGTTTAACGCCGCGGGGATTTACCCCATAATGAGGGACAGAATGATGTATAGGACAGGCAGAACATTGCTTAACTATTTGTTGAGCAGCTTCTCGAGTTATATGGAATTGCTTCCTTAAGCTGTGGCTATTTTGATGATGTAGAGCATGAGACTGCTGAGCTAATTCCAATTGACTGAAAGCTACTAGCTGTGTGGCCTGATCTGCAAGATCATTTCCTTTTTCCAGGGGTCCAGGAAGCCCAGAATGAGCCCTAATGTGACCCACATAACAAGGACAGGTCCGGGTATGTATGCACCATTGTATCTGAGCAAAGAGCTCCTGTATTTGATTATTAGCCACATCAATATAAGCAACTGTTTCAAGCACCTGTAAAGCTTTAACAATATAATGACTATCTGTATACAAATTGAAAGAATAATGGGCCAAAAGTTCAAATACCACAGCGACAGCGCGAAGCTCAACAATCTGAGCGGAGGTGGGGGCTGTATGGACAATCTGTGGCTTTTCCTGAATAACATATGCCGCAATACCATTGGAAGACCCATCAGTGAAAACTACTTGAGCATTTTTTATGGGTTCCTGTTTCATAATCTTGGGAAACACCAAAGCATGAATATTAACAAATTGCAATAATTTATCCTTGGGGATATGGTTATCTATACATCCAGGGTAATGTGCAAATGCAATGGCCCACATGTCCACATTTTGGAATAGCCAATCTAACTGTTGTTTGGTAAATGGGACTCCAATTAAGGAAGGCTCTGCTCCAAAATATTTTCGAGATTCCTCACGCGCCATATGAACCAGGCACACCACAGATTCATAATAGGGAGTTAACACTCTGGCTGGAGAAACAGGCAAATGCAACCAAAGCAAGGGACCCTCTTGCCATAAAATGGCAGTGGGAGCATGTGCTGTCACCAGAACATAGGCAGCCCATCCTCGAGCATAATCTATATATTGAACTTGCTGTCATTCTATAGCTTGTTCTATCTCACACAAGGCCATCTGACCTTCAGCTAATTTTCTAACAGATGTAGGATCAGAATCTCCCCAGAGGATATCGAATAAAGGTTTCAATTCTCCGGTGGAGATTTTTAAATATGGTCTAAGCCAATGAATATCTCCTAACAATTTCTGAAAATCATTCAAAGTGTGTAAATTGTCTTTCCTAATTTGAACCTGAGGTAATATGGATTTGGGATATAACTTATTTCCTAAATAGGAATATGGTGGCTCAGTCTGAACCTTTTCCAGTGTAATCATCAATCCGTAATCCTTTAAAGCTTGTTGTAAATGAGCATAGGCTGTTAATAAGAGGCCTTCTTGTCCATGAGCTAGAAGTATATCATCCATATAATGAACAATATAGATTTAGGGATATATTTGCCTAATTTTATTTACTGCCTGAACTACAAATTTCTGACACAAAGTAGGACTATTAGCCATACCCTGAGGCAATACTTTCCAATGATATCTCTTCATAGGCTCCTTAAAATTTGTCGAGGGTATGCTAAAAGCAAATCACTTACAATCTTCAGGAGCAAGTGGAATAGTATAAAAA